TTACATGAGACCCAGAGAATCTCTATTTTAAGAAAGTGTCTGCCAAGAAATGAAAGGATTTTAGCATTTATCACTGTTTCTCCGAGGTCACAGATGCAGTATAGAAACTAATTGATTGACCCCTTAACCCGTGCTTTTCATATAGTCTCTATGGATGGACCAATTCTTCCAAATTCCATAGGCTTTCAGATGATAAGGAACAAGGGAGTCAGCTTGTTTCTGCAGGACAAGCTATATATTCACACTTTGTTTTTTTTTTAAAGCATTTAAAATACTCCTAGCCCTCACAGAACTATAGTCTTTGGGAATATGAACTGGACAGATTTTTTTTTTAAAAAAAGCCTAAGTGTTTGAATCTGATGCTTGTAATATAAGGAGAGCATAGAAAAAGGTAAATTGGTAGCAAATGAAACAGTATAAAACTCCACATAGTAATGATTCCCTCCATATTTAAAAAATGCAATGTATTTTAAGAAACATTTCCTTCTATAGTCTCAATTCTCATTGATTCAGAGTGCCTACACAAAAAGTGCAAAGATTAACATACTCATATTATTTCTCCATGAAAAAGCCTTGTACTTTACAAGAAGTCAGTTATTTTGAAGGACAGAGACAATTATGCCACATGAAAATATTAATTGAAAGGACATTCAATTTTTTAAATTCTCCCATTCTAATCCACTCATCCATTCTATCTTGGGCCTAGCATTATTTTTATGAATACTGCATGAGAGAATGCCCAATTGCTGGGTTTCACTTCAATAGGGTACTGTAGCCCTTCTAGCAATTCTCTGTTAAGCCTTGTAAAGATATAATGAGTGAGTAAAACTTGAGCTATTACACAGAAAAGGAGAATCACCAGAAAAGGCAAAACGACCATTTATGGTAATATAATAATAATTATTGTACTAATGAATATTCTACAGATATTTTATTTAGGAATTGATAAAACTGTAGGTTGAAATTAAAAATTTAAACAAAAGTATCTGTATGGCAATTGTTTTTTTTTAACCTAACTTACAGTTATACAATTACCAGATGAAAAGATTTAAGCTTTATTCACTTGAAAATCATAATCACTAGGTGAGAAATCTATTTATGAAAGGATGCTTAAGGTCACAACTTCTTTGTAATAAATAAAGGTCAAATTCCTGGATTCTGTACTTTGGAAACCCAGCCATTCATGATCAGTTTGTTGGCTGAAACTAATAAACAGACGAACAAATGGTCAAAATTGGGAGCGTCCTATCAAATTCTGTACCTGTCAAAAGTGGTGTCTCCCAAGGAAGTGTTCTAGGACCAACTCTCTTCATACTCTACATAAATGACCTCTGTGATCATATTAAGAGCAACTACGTTCTCTTCGCTGATGATGTAAAGCTATTCAACAAAACAGACAATACTACTACCCTTCAAAAAGACCTTGACTATGTATCAGAATAGTCAAACAAATGGCAACTTCAAATTTCAACAAATAAATGCTCTGTCCTACATATTGGCAAAAAATAAATAAATCAGAAAATAAAATACAGGCTGAATAGTCAAGACCTTGTTGATGATCCATACTCTGTCAAGGATCTTGGAGTACCCATCTCTAATAATCTAAGTGCTAGAGCCCACTGTAACTACATAACCAAAAAGATGTTAAGAGTTGTTAACCTAATCTTACGTAGTTTTTTCTCCTGTAATATTACACTACTAACTAGAGCATACAAAACATTTGCTAGACCAATACTCAAATACAGCTCTTCAGTCTGGAACCCACATTAGGTATCTGATATTAACACAGTTGAGAAAGTCCAGAAATATTTCACAAGAAGAGTTCTCCACTCCTCTACTCGTTGCAGAATACCTTATGCCACAGGACTTGAAATTCTAGACTTAGACAACCTAGAACTATGCTGCCTTCGGTCCGATCTAAGTATAGTATATAAAATCATACATTGCAATGTTCTACCTGTCAATGAATACTTCAGCTTCAACCATAACAATACAAGAGCCAACAATAGATACAGGTGAAACTCAAAAAATTAGAATATAGTGCAAAAGTTCATTTATTTCAGTAATGCAACTTAAAAGTGAAACTAATATATGAGATAGACTCATTACATGCAAAGCAAGATAGTTCAAGCCATGATTTGTCATAACTGAGATGATTATGGTTTACAGCTCATGAAAACCCCAAATCCACAATCTCAGAAAATTAGAATATTGTGAAAAGGTTCAATATTCTAGGCTCAAAGTGTTCCACTCTAATCAGCTAATTAAGCCATAACACCTGCAAAGGGTTCCTGAGCCTTTAAATGGTTTCTCAGTCAGGTTCAGTAGGAATCACAATGTTGGGAAAGACTGCTGACCGGACAGTTGTGCAGAAAACCATCAATGACATCCTCCATAAGGAGGGAAAGACTCAAAAGGTAATTGCACATGAAGTTGGATGTTCCCAAAGTGCTGTATCAAAGCACATTAATAGAAAGTTATGTGGAAGGGGAAAGTATGGAAGAAAAAGGTTCACAAGCAGCAGGGACGACCGCAGCCTGAAGAGGATTGTAAGGAAAAGGCCATTCAAAAGTGTTGGGGACTTTCACAAGGAGTGGACTGAGGCTGGAGTCAGTGCATCAAGAGCCACCATACACAGACGGATCCTGGACATGGGCTTCAAATGTCGTGTTCCTCTTGTCAAGCCACTCCTGAACAACAAACAACATCAGAAGCATCTTACCTGGGCTAAAGAAAAACAGACCTGGTCTGTTGCTCAGTGGTCCAAAGTCCTCTTTTCTGATGAGAGCAACTTTTGCATCTCATTTGGAAACCAAGGACCCAGAGTCTGGAGGAAGAATGGAGAGGCACACACTGCAAGATGCTTGAAGTCCAGTATGAAGCTTCCAGAGTCGGTGTTGATTTGGGGAGCCATGTCATCTGCTGGTTTTGGTCCACTGTGCTTCATTAAGTCCAAGGTCAACACAGCTGTCTACCAGAAGATTTTGGAGCATTTCATGCTTCCTTCCACAGACGAGCTTTATCGGGGTGCTGACATCATTTTCCAGCAGGACTTGGCACCTGCCCACACTGCCAAAAGCACCAAAACCTGGTTAATGACCATGGGATTATTGTGCTTGATTGGCCAGCAAACTCGCCTGACCTGAACCCCATAGAGAATCTATGGGGCATTGCCAAGAGACAGTTGAGAGACACGAGACCAAACAATGCAGAAGAGCTGAAGGCCGCTATTGAAGCATCCTGGTCTTCCATAATACCCCAGCAGTGCCACAGGCTGATAACTTCCATGCCACGCCGCATTGAGACAGCAATTGCTGCAAAAGGGGCCCAAACCAAGTACTGAGTACATATGCATGCTTATACTTTTCAGAGGTCCGATATTGTTCTATGTACAATCCTTGTTTTACTGATTGCATGTAATATTCTAATTTTCTGAGATTGTGGATTTGCGGTTTTCATGAGCTGTAAGCCATAATCATCTTAATTATGACAAATCACGGCTTGACCTATCTTGTTTTGCATGGAATGAGTCTATCTCATATATTAGTTTCACTTTTAAGTTGCATTACTGAAATAAATGAACTTTTGCACGATATTCTAATTTTTCGAGTTTCACCTGTACAAACTCAAGGTTAATCGCACCAAACTTGATTGCAGGAAATATGACTTCAGCAACAGAGTGATCAATGTCTGGAATACTCTACCTGACTCTGTGGTTTCTTCCCCAAGCCCCCAAAACTTTAACCTTAGACTTTCTACTATTGATCTCATCCCTTTCCTAAGAGGTCTGTAGGGGGCATGCATAAGCGCACCAACGTGCCTACCATCCCTGTCTTATTGTTTCTTTTACTTTTCTTATATGTATCCATGTATTCATAACTATGTTTTTACTTATACCTATTATCTTGTAAGCAATTGACAAACTAAATTAAAAAATAATAACACAAACTATGTATGTGTTAGCACTCTTTCAAATATAGTTACTACTACCTATAAGCTGAAAAATAAAATCCTGCAAAAAATCCTGACATTATAGAATGTTTTAAAAACTTGGGGAAACTGTTACACTATTACAGCTTTATATACCAGGATCATATACTCAGCTTGTCGTGATTGTTCAAGTCAACTTTGAACTCGATGCAACCAGCTACAGCTTCTATAATTAACTGAAAAAAAAAAATCCCGGATGCATATATTATAAAACTTTCAATCTAGCATAATACTTACCCATACAGATTTTCAAGGGGTCCACAAATTTTCCACAATAGTTCCTACAGATAGTTATAGTTTGTACATGATATAATACAGCTTCAGAATAGAATTTATGAACTGGTATAAGGTATAGAGTTTCCTGCCTGAGCAAGGGGTTAGACTAGAAGACCTTCAAGGTCCCTTCTAACTCTATTCTATTCTATTCTATTCTATCCTATCCTATCCTATTCTCTTTATTCTATTCTATTCTATTCTATTCTATTCTATTCTATTCTATTCTA